TTGAAAAAAGAAGATGGTGGAGTTTTTCAATGGGAAATATGACTAATATAATCATCAACGTTACTTTTTTGTTCATCACTGTTTTTCATAAATGTTTGTGACTAGAGTATCAGAAGCAAGTCAGTTTAATAACACAATGTCTTTGTAGGGTATTTCAATAAAATTTAGTACACAGTCTCAAACGCTACAAAGTTTACCAATGCTAAAAGGTTATCTTCATCCAAGCGAACACGTAATCTTTGATTAAACAAATATTATCAGCTGAACAATGCATGATAAACATGGAAATATCATTTTGACTAAAAAAAATAATTTCTCATCATACAAATAAATTAAAAAAAGCAACATTATATTGTATGATTGTAGGATAGTTTAAAGTACCAAATACAATTATGATGAGAATAAATTGAGAAGTAAAAATAAAACCATTAAATGTGAACTAGTATACATTGTGTTTTGACAGAATTTTTTTGTGTGGAAATGTAAGTTATATTCATGTTCTAATAAAGGCATCAACCCCTGTAAATAGAAACATTTAACAGAAATAAACACATTTTCAATACAAAGATACGATATGAGAATTCATGGAACTGAAATCCAAAACTCTAATATGCATTACTGATTTCTAAAATGAGGTAAGTATTACCTGATAAATAGCTGTTCTGAGCTAAACATTTGAATATCAAAGATTTATACAGTAGGTTTGCGGGTGCACCATGTGTGTGAGAGAGAGAGAGGTTTGAGGAGTCCTAAAAAGGACCCTGACTCGGTAATCTTTCTTGGAGGAGTGTAGTCCTGAAAAAGGACTGTCTGTTATCTTTCTTAGCATATAGTTCTCAGGAGAACTATAGCGCTTGGAGAGGATGAGTGGCTCGACGTTACAAGCAGCATCAAAGATTTATGTTTGCAGGATTTCATTACAGTACTGTAACAGAAAACTGACACAGGTACAACCATTCAGTTCATTGTTTCAGAAATCATGGACAATGTTACCAGTTCACTTTAAATCAATTCATTGATTATATAATCGATACATTTCATTGCGATTACTGAATTCTACACTCAAAAATAATTATGAGTGGAGTTTTCTATATGATATTTAAAACGTTTACAATTAAACAGTATAAAAGAGAGATTGAGGTATTGAAACATTGAAGCATTGCCACAACGATCAATATGATTGATTCTAGTTTCTTAAGCATGCTCTTCAACAAAAGTTCTTCAAGTTTCTTCACACGTATGTCATCCAAGCGATAGTGGTTGAAGCAGCGAAGATTCTTGATCTGCTGAAAGCAAAAAACTGCTTGAAAGCAAAAGGAAATAGGAGAAAGAAAAATCATAATAAAACAAATTCAAGTCAAATTCAATAGAAAATCATTATCAGAATGTCAATTACGAAAGGGAACTTTACAGTGCATTATATTTATGATTAGGTGAAATTATTTTGTGTAGTTTTGGTTCCAACTTTTAGAGAGGCTCTTAAATTAGATACTTTAATTGGTATAACCTTAGTATAAGCAATTTTTGTTGAGGATTACAAAAAAACTTAGACGCTAATCTCGATAGGACCACTCATTCCCAAAACCTAAACATTAAAAACAATTAATTAGGAATATCTCAAATTTCAACTATTTGGAAATGATCAAGAAGGGAAGAAGATAAATTTTGACTTGTTCACAAGCATAGACAGTGGTTCATCATCAGAATCGCCATCGAAGCCATCTGAACTACTTTGATATCACCATGCCAAGTCACATCTGCAGCTCTGAATGTATTCAGTGAATTGCTTCAACAATTCCACACCGCTCCCACTTTGAGGTCACCATGCCAAGTCACATCTGCAGCTCTGTGTTCAGTGAATTATCAAGAACCCATCTAACCAGCATGTTGGTCCCTGTATCCAATCGAATTTTGTAGAATAAAAGAAATAGTTTCAGCATACAAATATACAATGACACTCGAGGATCTAGCTGAAACTATTCGCATCGAAGGAACATCAACTAGTGCTATTTACCCGAGGGCAATCGGCCCGAGGGAGAATAGTACTAGCAGGGGCGTAAATCCCGGGGGGGGGGGGCTGCATCCCCCCTGGTTTGAAGTAGGGGGGGTGGCCTGTACAATCATCCCCCCCTGATTTTACCCAAAAAAAAGAGAGGAAAAAAAGAGAGGAAAAAAAGGATGAAGAAGAAGAAGAAAAAATGTGATTGTTTCAATTGCAGCATAATGCATGAGAAATGAGTTATTTTGTTTATGTATAGCCTACACGTATACAGTATGTCACAATAAGGAAACGTCAAGGCTTCTGCGCTTCGCGCGAGCGGGGGAAACTGAATTCAGATAAATAGGGCTTATTAAGAGTCGAAAACGGTGCAACGAATCGTCTTCTTTCTATAATAATTAAATCAAACGTCTAAGCTTTTCACGCTTCGCGCGGGAAGGGGAAACTGAATTCAGACGAGAATTAAGAGTCGAAACAGTACATTCAATCGTCTGCATTCTCTAATAGTTTAAGGAAACGTCAAGGCCTTCGCGCTTCGCGCGACAGGGGGAAACTGAATTCAGATAAATAGGGCTTATTAAGATCCGAAAACGGTGCAACGAATCGTCTTCTTCCTTTAATAATTAAATCAAACGTCTAAGCTTTTCACGCTTCGCGCGGGAAGGCGAAACTGAATTCAGACGAGAATTAAGAGTCGAAAACAGTAAACTCAATCGTCTGCATTCTCTAATAGTTTAAGGAAACGTCAAGGCCTTCGCTCTTCGCGCGAGAGGGGGGAACTGAATTCAGATAAATAGGGTTTATTAAGATCCGAAAACGGTGCAACGAATCGTCTTCTTCCTATAATAATTAAATCAAACGTCTAAGCTTTTCGCGCTTCGCGCGGGAAGGGGAAACTGAATTCAGACGAGAATTAAGAGTTGAGAACAGTACACCCAATCGTCTGATTTCTCTAATAGTTTAAGGAAACGTCAAGGCTTCCGCGCTCCGCGCGAGAGGGGGAAACTGAATTCAGATAACTATGGCTTATTAAGAGTCGAAAACGGTACAACGAATCGTCTGCCTTCTCTAATAATTTAATGAAACGGCAAAACTTCCGCGCTTTGCGCGGGAGGGGTAAACCGAATTCAGACAAAGATTAAGAGTCGAGCACGGTTTAACAAATCGTCTACTTTCTCTTATAATTTAATTAAACGCCAAAACTTCCGCCCGGGAGGGGGGGGGGGGGGAGGGGGGAACTGAATTCAGATAAGGATTTACAGTCGAGAACGGTACAGCAAATCGTCCCCTTTCTATAATAATTTAATGAAACGCCAAAGGTTTCGCGCTTCGCGCGGGAGGGGGGGGGGATTTATTCAGACAAGGGTTAACAGTAGAGAACGGTACAATAAATCGCCTTGTTTTACTAATAATTTAAGGAAACGTCTAAGCTTCCGCGCTACGCGCGGTAGGCCTATCACCCACACACCCCTAATGAGCGAGCATGTGAGTGTGTGTGTGTGTGTGTGTGTTGTGTGTTTGTGCGCGCGCGATCGCGCGCGCTTGCGTAAATTAGTGTGGGCGTGTGCTACTGCTAGTATGTGATGGCTATCGCCGATCATCCCCCCCCCCCCCCCCCACTCCTCGGTACGGATTTACGCCCCTGAGTACTAGTGATGCTCCTATGTGCGAATAGTTTAGCTTGTTCCGAGAATGAGTCATTTTATATTTGTTTTATATCCCTTCCATATGTTCATTCCTTGTACACTTCTGTAACATGTACCGTATACTCACATTCACATCTCACATTTTCTCTCTCTCTCTCTCTCTCTTTCTCTCTAAGTGACATATGACTTTGGCGATCATGCTGTTCCACAACCCTCGGCTCCTAGCCTTCTGTATTAGTACCACTCCCAGTTCTTTCACTCCTCTCTCTTTCAACAATTTCTGCAGACTATCCATCCATAGTATCCTCCTTCTTCCCCTACTCCTTCTTCCCACAATTTTCCTGTCAAAGCAAGATTCTCTAGGCCTTCTTTACGTGTAATGTGACCCATGAACTTCAATTGCCTAATCAACATCTCACGTATCATTTTCCTTTGCACTCCAGCTCGTGTAAGAACTTCCTTATTACTAACTTTGTCAGTCCAGGGGATTTTCATCATTCTTCTTAAAAACCACATTTCGCAACTTCCAAACGCTTTTTAGTATAAGAGGCTAATTTAATGTCCACGTTTCACTACCATACATAAGTACTGGGTAGATGTAACAATTCAATACTCTTATTTTGGTCCTCTCCCTCATTGTTCGATATGTCAGAATTTTGCCTCACATTCTCACATTCAGAAAAGAAATAAAAGAAAATTGCACAGCTCAATAAAAAACGTTGAAGGATGTTTATACAAATAACGCACGGCCCAGAGTGCAATAGCGGTGAATGCAGTACGCGCGAGGTTTCTTTAGATTGGTGCCGCTCTGTGCAACGAGCCGCGGCGAGTTTACAGTGCGAACCATCTGAAGAAACCGAGCGTACACTGCATTTACGTTTCGCACAACAGGGTCCACGGGATTCATTGCCCTGATTAAAAATAAAATCCACAGGGGGTCTAGAGACGAGTCTTCATCAGACAGCTGAAATTCCTGGCTTCATTATGAAATCCAAAAGTCAAAACGGGCCTAAATCCAAGGCAAAAGTAAAATAAAAATTTGCTTTCTACAATAATACCCCGCTAGCGCTCTAGCTAGCTAGCTAGAGCTAAGCTACGCGTACGCTGCGCTGGGGATCATGGTGGGGCGTACAATATTAGCTACGCGTAGCCTACACCATGCGAAAATGACAATGACAATGACAATTTATTCTCATGTCACCCACATTGGGGTATTGGAGAAGTTTACAATCAGTTTGAGTTTGTCAATTAAACACTGTGAAATATACAATACAAATAGAATTAATGTTAATCCATACAAAATAACACTAGTGATGACAATAGTGAGAAAAATTATGATGATAATGATAATAATGTGACGGTCAGCGTAAAATCTAACTTGTTCATTTTTATAAAACTGACTTGAAACACCAAAATATATATGTGGGACTGATTTTTCGATCTTTTCATATATTTTTGTCTATTTCACTTGTTAAATTGCTGAGTTATACTGTCAGGCTGACTTACCATTATTCTAAATGTCTGTACTCTCGGAATAAGGCTCTTACTTTATTTTGATCAATATATTTCTCTTTGTATAAAGGTTACAAATTATTTGATGTAATCGCACTTACTTTGAAATAGTTATTGCGAAGATTTATGAATATTCATGTGCGTACATATTCGCGTGGTTTAAGCATACGCGCATAGCGCATGGTAGTGCGCTGATATGTGATAGCCGAGTTTGATCGATGTGGCTAGGCTGTACACTTTGGCATTAGATGCGCTGTGAAACTGACCTGTCTGTGAACCTTGTTGAACCGAGATTTACGGTAATTATTCCTTTCGTTTCCGCCCATTGCTATTCATATGCAGATTAGCTGATTTGCATTGCACCAACAACAAATGTTGATCAATCTATTGGACTTTGTACCAAAATTGATGTTTTAATGTTTATTTTAGAGTTAAATGTGTATTTTCATGGTTTTTAAGGCCGAATCGAATACAGGCCAGAAGCAGATTGGCCAAAATCTAGCCAAAATGGGATGGCCCAAAACTAGCCAAAATGGGATGGCCCAAAACTAGCCAAATTGGTATTGTGCATATGATTAGTATGACTGCTGTGTATATGGATGCTTGTTATATTGGTATTCATTTATCAGATAATAGTTATCAATATGTATGCTTGGAACTGAAACAGAATACACAAAAATGGACATGAATTCTTGGATTTTATATTACTGTGCCAGTAATTATTTATTGAATAATGCAACACTTAATAAAATGTCTTTACAATTATATTGCATTACAGAGATGTCAGTTCAGATATCACAGTCACTGTTAAGAAATGAGCATTGGAAGTGTAGGCCAAGAGCATTAGTTTTAACATGGAAATTTTTGGTAACAAGCTGATTTTTTCAGGATAGGTCCAGGAATATGTCTAGATTAACATACTAAAAGTCCTCATAAATCCTCCTTGAGCGTTTTCCGCAATCCAAGATGGCGTCCAAAATGGCCGCCATGTCCTGAATTTCTTATAGATTTGCAACTAGATAACCCAAATAAAAAAATTAAATGTCTAAATATATGTTTTTTAGCATAAGGAACTCAATAAAATACATGTTGATAAATTCTTAAACACACAAGTAGCTATAAACCACTTTTAGCCCTTTTCGAAATCCAAAATGGCGCCCAAAATTGCCGCCATTTCCTGTATTTCTTCTAACTTTGCAACTAGATAACCCAAATACCAAATTTAAATGTCTAAATATATGTTTTTCAGCATGAGGAACTCAACCAAATAGTTATTACAAAATTTTGAAACACACAAGTAGCAGTATAACCACTTAAGCCTTTCCCGAAATCCAAAATGGCACCCAAAATGGCCATTATATCCAAATTTATCTCATTGTAAGTAGATACGTAATGAATATAATCAAATGTCTAGACTAGAAAAGCACCGTTAAAATACTTATCAATACAACAATCTTTTAATTGAAAAATACTTCTTATGCATAAAGTACACACACACACACACCGACATACACATATGGCTGCTTCCATCATCCTCAACGATATCGGACTGACAGTGTGCAACCGTGAAGAGTACTCAACATTAGATGGAACTGAAAATGTAGACACATTAGTACCAAGGTCGCTAAAGCTTTTTATACATAATGACTGTAAAAGGTGCGGTATGGATGTTGCTTTGTTGCAGCACTAGTTGGAAGTAGACTTTTTAACTGAAAGGATGAACTCGGAGAACTGCGACCAATTGCCCATTTAATTGTATGCAGTGTGACGGTAGTCATCAAGAACTGCTGGCCCCATAAAGGCTTTCCCGGCTCTTTTTTTACCCCGTCATGGGTGCTTCCACTGCGAATGTATCAAGCAAGCCATAGTCAAGTTTCTTGTGGACCATATTGAAAGTTTTACGACTGCCCTGACGGTAGATTGCAGAGACCGTATCACACCCTGTCATAGCTTAAAGAAACATCAGGCAATTTCTAGTGTCCCCTATGGCATGCTGAATTTCATGAATGTTGAAGACCGTGACAGGATTCTGCGGCTCAGCGTGTGCATATCTGTAGAAGTGGTTGCCGGAGCAACTAGCATGACCAGTAAATATGTGTCCTTTAATACCAACGACAACAACGGGCACCTACTCTGCTACTGCTTGTGCTGTAGAGACAATCAGGTTAGTGGCATCCGCTTCTGTCTGTTTGATACCGGAATGTATTTTGTTACATAGAGTTTGTTAAAGCCTCATCTTATTGTTGCTGTTGGCAATGAAAGCTGTGTTGGGTTGTGCTTGTTGGCATATAATATATTATCATCAAATAAAAAGGTACATCTTTGGGCTATTCGTCTCTGCTCAGCTACCTTTGTCGAAGTTGCACTTCCATATCCATCGAACACCACCGTCAAATGAGCTCCATAATGCTTAAGGGTGCAGTAGGCCACCACCATCTTAAACAAAGAGACCATTTCTGGCACGTTGGATTGCTTGGAAAACGAATTCAGCAGGAGACCCAGAGAACTCTTTGTTGGCTTCCGCATCAACCCACCTTTGAAAGGGAAAGTGTGTGGGAATATGTTCATAAGCAGTGTTGTTATTCAGGACACATGTTATTCTGTTGAACAGTAGTGTTGGGTTGACTTATGTGCTTTGTCCCCTGATTTTCACTCTCTTACTCTTGGCACCAATGGTCTTCACCTCGTCCTTACGATGTACGTAGCTTGAATTCTGTAAACTTCCTACCATGCATTCGTTTTGGATGCCGCTACTTGGCCGATTTGTACAGGTTAATCACAATTAACAGATAAGCCAGCGACGATGCCAGTTGACAAGGAGACCAGGCAATTAGTTTCGTATCAAGCAAATGGTGATGTGCCTGCAGCCATCCAACAAAGATACATCTTTCTTTTTTGTCTCTTGACCTGGTACTTTGCTGTATGTCTTTATGCTGCTCTGGTGTACCAATGTGTACTCCGGTGAACTGTTCTAGTTCATCACAGGTAGGAACACAGTGAGGAAGTGCATGAACCCACTTTAATAGCCAATGTACTGTCTGTGATTCCACTTCCACAAGTCATTTCTCTAGATGTTTTCAGCTGCCGCATCAGGAACTTTTCAATGGTCTGATCAGAGAAGTTTCCATCCCAGAATGAATCCACACGGCGGATCATGAAGTATCCCATTTCTGCGAATTGTGTATATTCATTTCCTGGCATGGTTTGCTCTAGAGCTTCCATCTGTTGCAAAAACAACCTGTCATATTTGAGCTAGGGAAGATGTCCTGGAGCATGGAAATGTTGTATCATTTCCCTCACACAGCTGAGATGGAGCTTCCAGTCCCCTGTCCTTTCAGCTGGAATGAAACATTGCAGAAGAGACACATAAATGTCGGATTTACTGCAACCAAAGTTTCCCTGTCCTACTGTGTCCTGCTGCCCATTCAATGAGTTGTGAAATGATCTGACTTTAACTGTTTGACACACTCTTCTCAGGTACAGCAGTCACCTTCTTGTCCTGGTTGAGGAGTGCACCATACAGATTCGCTAAGTGGTCCTTATCTATGCTGTCTAAGACGCCAGGTTTACCCATCAACACGCCAATGAGGGTAGCTAAAGTAAGAATGTGAGCACGAAGAGAAGGGGAAAATGCATGACCAGATTGCATAACTTGTATGACAGACCCTTTGGCGTACATTGTCTCCCATAGCTCTACAAGCATACTTCTGCCAAGGACGTGGACTATATGCTGCCGAGATATGACATGAGGAGGTGAAATCCACCAAAACGGACGATTACTTTTCCTAGGTCTTGAGAAGAAGCTACAATCTCTGCTACCTTGATGTACGAGGGCTGGTTAAATGTTACTGCACATATTCTTAAGTTATATGTTTTTCACATTGTGACTGTGCAAAGTATTGTGCCGCGTGTAGATGGTACTCGGATTGGAGGGGTCTAAATTTATGAAGGGCAGAGTTTCAATTCTCGTACTGGTCACTCTGCATGGCCACTTTCATGAAACCAATCCATGAAGGACAAAGCTCATGTTGCTCAGCTCAAGATGTATATCTGTTCACGTGAGCCACACTTCCGGTGTTTATACGAAGCCATTCCAACAATATTGGCGACAGAAATGACCTGGTCTACTAGCAGAGATGACATGGCATGTGCTATTGAGGTATATTTCCAGTTTGACTTTTGCCTTTGCGACAGTAATTGGTACTAATGTGTCTCCATTTTCAGTTCCATCTAACGTTGAGTACTCTTCACGGTTTGCACACTGTCAGTCTGGTGGAAGCAGCCATATGTGTGCATGTGTGTGGGTGGGTGGGTAGGTGTGTATACGTTATGTATAAGAAATATTTAATTGTTTAATGAAAGGTTTATTTGTACTGATATGTATTGAAATAGTGTTTTTCTAGTATAGACATTTGATTGTATTCATAACGCACCTACTTTAATACAGTGAGATAAATTTGAAATAATGGCCATTTTGGACGCCATTTTGGATTTCGGAAAAGGCTCAAGTGGTTTTACTGCCACTTGTGTGTTTCAAAATTTATTGATAAGTATTTGGTTGAGTTGCTTATGCTAAAAAACATATATTTAGACATTTAAATTTTGTATTTGGGTTATCTAGTTGCACAGTTATAAGAAAGTCAGGAAATGGCAGCAATTTTGGGCGCCATTTTGGATTTCGGGAAGGGCTAAGGTGGTTTATAGCTACTTGTGTGTTTCAAAATTTATCAACAAGTATTTTATTGAGTTCCTTATGTTAAAAAACATATATTTAGACATTTAAATTTTGTATTTGGGTTATCTAGTTGCAAAGTTATGAGAAAATGAGGAAATGGCGGCCATTTTGGACGCCATCTTGGATTACGGAAAACGCTCAAGGAGGATATACGAGGACTTTTAGTATGTTATTCTAGACATATTCCTGGAGCTATCCTGAAAAAATCAGCTTGTTACCAAAAATTTCCAGGTTTAAGCCTATTTTGACCTAATGCTCTTGGCCTAGTGGTGAACATATTCCCTTTATTTATTACTTTTGGTTGAGAGATTTTACTCTTTGTAGCTAATAAATCATTAGCTACGCTGAAATTAGGTGTACTTCAGGTCGCTGGATAGTTTGACTAACTGATCCTTTGCGGGTATACCTAAAGGTCTAACCAATTCCAATCTGGTTTCTGTGACAAGTAGTTCTAAGAATGTTTATACATGTACAAACTTTTATCTATTTGTGAGATATTGAATATTAGTGCTACTGCTTATTATTCAATGGAGGACTGATTATTTAATTGGTCATTGGAACATTTTCTCTTTTATTATCGATTTTTACTCTAGACTATAGACCATATCTGCTGTGTGACCTAATACATTACTAGTAATATGAATTTCTGGAGGACGAGGCTGAGGGCCTCAGTATTAGTCTGTCACCTGTACCTAGTAGTTTAAGAATATATCTATCTACATGTAAAGCAGTTGTAACTTATATATATTGAACATTTGTATATTTAATAATTGTATTCTATATAGTTGTACTTTAAATATATTCGTCATATTTATGAACAAAGTAAATACGATCTGATGCTATTACTTGCATAAGATTTAGTCACTTGTAAATAGATTCACAATTCAACAATTAATGATGTACAAATTAATATAAGTAGCTTATGTATTTATGGAGCTGTAACTTACATGTATATTTTATCTTAGTAACACTTATTGATAATGATCCCTTAATAAGCACTGAATTACAGAGAGCAAGGAACGAATCCCTAGACAAACCGGTTGTCTTAAGATTGAAGTACGTTTAGAACTGATTAGTAATTCTGGAAGTTAGCAATAGGATAGGAATTGGAAATTTGAGGCTATAACCTATTGTAAAGACCTAAGGATTAAAGATCGCATGGTTATGCCGACAGAGTGAGCTGCCATGACGAGATTAGGGGTGGATAGACCAGTAAGTAAAATACCCGTTGAGCGGTGAATCCGAATACCATAAGTTGATTATGCCTAGGCAATAAGAAGGAAGGCAGTTAAGTATTTGTACTTGAACTTGGAATGAAGTAATTATTGGATGGCTGCTGGTCAGCCTAGATTGACCGTAAGATGAAGTGGCTATGTTATGCCCGGAATAGAATTACTTTCTCATGTTTTAGTAGGAAAGAAAAGGTACACTTTGGAATAGAATTCAGTTGCTAATGATCTATTATTGTAACATCTTAAACCTGTCCCTATAGAACTCTTTAACATAATACTGCATCTACTATTATAGTCTATACAATTAAGTTAGTATCACTTAGGTAAATGATTGGTTGTCTGACAAAAGTGACAACACATCTATATATAATGTACATTTGAACTCTTATACTTAGTAATTGCATTGCATACATTTTCGAGTTGAATTACGTCAACGTTGAATTAGGCATGAAAGCCTCACTGTTAATTGAAATCCATTAATAAAGTGTTACTTGTTATTTGTTCACCTGAACAATTAGGCTGACAGATTCATTCTTACAAGTTACAGTAATACATGTCTGGTTACACATTAGTTACAGTAGTTAGTTAAGTGTGAATGGTGATTGGTATTTTTACATCTTCTTTAGATAGCGCGATTGAGAACTTGAAGAACGAAATCATTGTCTGGTTCTATTCAGACACTTATCCATGTCATTGTGCCTTTAGATTGCTCGCTACCTTATGGGAGGATTGGGATAGAGGACGTGAGAGAAAGTGCCCCAAGTTACGAGTGCGAATAATGTGTGTGTTTTAACTGCGTGTACAGGACACCCAGTGTGCCCTGTCACATGTTTGCAGTGTGTTGTGCAGAACGTTAGAGAATCTGAGCTGTACAAGTCTGATACAAATATTAGGATTAAATCATGCTTACAGAGTACTGACAGAATTATTCAGATCTTATGATGATGCTTTAACTCACCTAAATGAAGAAATACAAGCTACTTGAAGTGTGGAACAGTGTGGAGATGAGCCAGGCTGCTCGTGGCACGAGTTGAATCTAGCGCGAATGTTTACGAGAGCCCAGGGTTCAGGTCAAAGGTTGACCATTAGTGCGTTGTGTTGAATTCAAGAGGTGCGAAATGAGCCAATGAGAAGGCTGTGATTTGTGAATAATTAAGTCATTTAAATATCGTTTATTGTGTGATCCAACAGGTCTGGTATTAATCTCTTTACAACATCAAGTTGTAAAGAGAAGAGAATCTAGCGCTCTTAATAAAGACTAGATGGTGGCAGCTTACTGTGTTGTGAATGTTGACTTGATTTTGGTGGCAAGCGATGCAAGCACCCCCCTTTCTCTCTCACTGGGGAATTACAACACCACCACCCCTCTTCCTCTTTACCCCCCTTCTTCCTCCCATATCCCCCTTCTTCCTTCCTCTATTGTATTATCTATTAACCACCCCCCCCTATTCCGTCACAATAACAATATTGATGATGATAATAATAATAATAATCAAAAACAAAACGATAATATTAATTAAAACGATAATTAATGACGAAATTAATGGAAGCAATTGAAAAAGAAATTTACTGGCACCAGTAAATTGATATCTGAATTAATGAATTACTGAAAATATTCTTGATATCAATTTAATAAATTGATATGAGACAAAAAAAGAGAAACATAAAGTTAATATTGAACTCATAACATGTTTTTGCACATACTTAAATTAATGAAAACGAAGCATTATTTTTCGACAGAATTTTACTAAGTTTAAACGTGTTTGTACATTATTGGAGTTAAAAAGCTGATCCATTTTCAGTGTATTTGGTCTTTCAATAAAATATTTATCGATGAACAATTTTCTTTCTGAACGAAAGGTAGGGCATACAAACAAGTAATGAAACTCATCCCCAAGCGATTGCAAATTGCACAGCGTACATAGCCTCATTTCTCTTGGAGTATTTGAATATCTACCAGCTACAATCGGCAGGTAATGATTGCCACAGCGAAAACGACTTAATATTGTCCGATCTCTTTTAATGAGATCGATTAAGTATCTTTCTAAACATAAAGAATGTTTGAAGATTCGATAGTTAACACAATGCGAATTATCGTACATACAAGCAGACCAATACTGAGCATGAGAATCTCTCAATCGACGTTCCACAGTTTGTTTGACCCACTCATAGCTAGTATCTTCACAAATTTCCCATAAATAAGACATCCCCATATTGTCCAGAGTCAGCTTGATTTTTTTTTAACCAAGGTGCCTGATATATATTCTTCTCAAAGAGTAATTTTAAGATAATATACACCTTAATACCAGAAAATTTATCCTGTCCACTATGTACAATCCTACACCAGAAGTTTATCATTCTGCTTTCGATATATTTCTCAAGTTTAAGCCTCCCCAATTCACCAAGTACCATACAATTTGCAGTTGTTTTGTTGACAGAAAGGGCTTGCTTACAAAATTTCATGTGGAAAATTTCAAGATCATGTAGCACTTCAAATCCCCATATCTCACTTCCATAGAGCAGAATGGGCAACACAAGTTGATCAAATAATTCCAAGAGGATATCAATAGGTAAGTGCAGTTGATAAGTTTTAGATAATAGACTATACATTGCTCGTCTAGCTTGATTAAGTTGCTTAATTTGAGCTTTACGAAATTTGTTGTTGTAGTTAAAAGTAGTTCCAAGATAGACGTATTCATCAACAACTTCTACAATATCATGATCAAATTTAAATATAGGAATTTTTTGAACTTTACCACGAGAAAATACAACAACTTTGGTTTTAGCTGTGTTAACTTGAAGAAACCATTTTTTTACAGTAATCAGATACTGCATCAAGAGCAAGCTGAAGTTCACTTTCAGTTTTTGCAAGAACTATTGTATCGTCTGCATACAGTAATGTAAAAAGCCTGAGATAAACATCTATACCTTTTTGATACGCAGCTGCATCAATCTTGTCAGGAAGAATATTTATGTTTTTTTTGCAGATCGAGGGAGCGTAGGCGCAGCTATACTACACGTACGCGCGCGCGCTGGATATCCATGGTAACGTGTAATATAACTTTTTGCGCTTTTTTTGTGCAAAATCGTGCTTGCATCAAAAATTTGTACATTTCATGTGACGCGTATTGACCAATCACGATGCTTAACATACTAGAGCCATTTTATAAAATATGTTTAGCTAGTGCTAAGCCGCCTATACAGGTACTGCATTGTAGGGCATTTATCGCACAGCTTGAATTGCATGGCTTGAGCGCCATGAAAGAGAGGGAGTTGGCCGTGCGCAGGCATTTGAAATGAGGGGGGGGGGGGGGAGGGGGGATGTACGCGCGCGCATAGTTCACTTTTTTCTGACATAGTACCTTTTTTTCCCTAGGGAAAAAAGGTACTATGCGTGACGTCAGCAATAAAAAAAATGAACTATTCCGATGTAGTCGGCAGGAAACGTCTTTTTATAGTAAATCTATTCTTTATCTTGTTTTGTACACTCCCAATGCAACAATCTTACGATAAAGGATATAATACAAGTTATTGTTCTTTCTGTGTGCATGCCTGTTACTTTTACCAAGACTGGGCCAAATTTCTTATATGTTCATGATTCCATAACCTTACAGTACTACTTATAATGCTCCACGATCAACTTTTTCTGATCGATTCCACACCGTTTCTTTCACAATGCAATCGCATGACCAGAACTCAACTTACCACAAAATTAATATTCCAATTTGGTTCATTAGCTGAAAATATTATAAACCAATGGTCATGTACATACATATAGCCTTCGCCAAAATTAGAAACACGTTCCTGTCCAGCTTTGTACTATGTCTGCTAAGTGCATTACTTGTTTCATATCTATATTTCCCTATTAATATTTAAGTGATTATGTAGCCATCATATATAATAGCAGTGTATTTCATTTTATCGATCGCAAGTTCGGTAATGAGCGCAAATCAATGGATGGCATTATACAGACCGGTCATGATTAATCATAACTCTCTATATGCTGCTAATGTGTGATTTTCTTTCACAGACCATGAAAACTATTCTCACCTGGATTTGTGTCTGGCCTGCGGCATTGTTTAAAAGTAGATGTTCCAGTCCTAGTGCTTCCTTCACATATTAGATAAAAACTAAACATATTTTTAAATTAGAGAGCAAGATCAGAGAAGTGCGCAAAATATATATCTACATTTATTTAGGTGGTTAGAAAAATACTAAAGGATGTACACTATATATTGAAGACGAAAAGGAAAAAAAAACACGAAAATTGAGTTGAATTATTCCCCCCCCCCCCTCTCCATTCCAATACCGACGCCAATTTTTAGACAGTTTATAGAAAACTGCATATTTTAAGGTATGAACCTTTTTTTCTTTCCGCCCACCGTAATCGCCCTCACCTCCTCTTCACAGCTAGATTTGGATCCCTGGTAAAGAGACTTCCAATAAATACATTCATATTTCAATCTCCACTTCATATCCTGGTGCCACCACTGCACATAGTCCAATCAGGAATTGGGATCGAGACTGTGAATCATGTAATGTAAATATGCTTTTAGTGAACTTTGAATTCATCGCCGCAGTCAAGATCTTAAACACCAAATTATAATATTATTAGATAACCCCATATAAATTTAAACGTGGCCCCTGCTGTAAATAGATTGGGCCTATTTCTGAGGAAATAAATGTTAATCATTAACTTAACATAGATAAAAGATAATGGTACACATTGCAGTACACTAAAAACACCCAA